AAACTGTAAAAATATGAAGTGCTTTAGCTGATAATCCTTAAACCAACTTTACCGAGCTCAACTTGTACAGTCTAGATTTGGTAAATGTAGCTATTAGCTCCATACTGGTGTTTTCGCCTTCATACTCGAGGATGAGTACCAAATCTGCTTTCATTTACAAAAATTTTAACAATCTTAGTTTTAAAAATAGTAAATGAGCTCATTGTGTTAAATCAATTTATTTTTTGTGGTCTTTGATTGCTGAATCATTTGACTAATTGTCTAATAACAAAACCTTTTTTTATGTTTGTTTTGTTTTAGGAGAAGGAATCCTGTTCAGCAAGAAGACAGGGATGGTTATGAACTGGGATGGTGTGGAGAACTGCTGCCCTTTTCAGAGTGGAGGATGAGTGAAAACAAACCGAGTTTGTTACCCTGAAGCTAATCTATAAACCTAACCTGATGAGGATCGGGTTTTCTTCAGTAAACCCAGAGTTTCATTCACCCTTCTCTTACTTTTTAAAGCAAAATATATTGGCAAAATATGTATATCGGCTGAGTCAGATTGCGTTTCTGTGTGGGGTTTGAATCTTCTCCCCATGTTGGTGTGGGTTCCCTCCGGGTGCTCCGGTTTCCCCCACAGCCCAAATGCATGCGCTTTAGGGGAATTGGGTGAACTACATTGCCCATAGTGTGTGTGTGTGTGTGTGTGTGTGTGTGTGTGTGTGTGTGTGTGTGTGTGTGTGTGTGTGTGTGTGTGTGTGTGTGTGTGAATGAGTGTATATGGGTGTTTCCCAGTGATGGGTTGCTGGTGAAAAGGCATCCATTGCGTAAAAGATATGCTGGAAAAGTTGGCGGTTCATTCCGCTGTGGTGACCCATGATGAATAAAGGAATTAAGCTGAAAAGGAAATTAATATTTAAGGAAACAAATTAAATGAATATAATTAAGTCAGTTAGGGCTGCAAGATATTGAAAAATCTCTCTGTTAAACAGAAATTTGAGAAAACAATAAACAGGTGTGCTAATAATTCAGGGGGGCTAATCAGTCTGACTTTAACTATATGTGTATATATATATTATAATAAAAAAAAATTTATAGAGCAAAATTCACGAGAAACAAAAATTCATACAATTTAGCTGAAATTTTGCAGTTTGTAATTTTCCCCAAGATTTTACATGAATTTAATTGTATTATCTTTCCATTTTTAAAGATGTTCGGTGATTAAAATATTATTTTAATAAATATATCTGTTGAATAAATCCGTTTTGTTCAAATGCGCCAAAATTTAGTTCTTATATTTACTGAGAAATGCATCAAAATAAAAATTTTCTAAATGGGGTGTCCTCAATTATGTTCTCATTTATATGCAGTTGAGGTCAGAATTATTCGCCCCCATGTTTATTTTTTTCCCCAATTTCTGTTTAACAGAGAGCAGATTTTTCCAACACATTACTAAACATATTAGTTTTAATAACTCATCTTTAATAACTGATTTATTTTATCTTTACCATGATGACAGTAAATAATATTTCACTAGATATTCTTCAAAACACTTCTATAAAGCTTGAAGGGCACATTTAAAGACTTAACTATGTTAACTACACAAGTTATTGTATAACAGTGGTTTGTTCTGTAGACTACAGGAAAGAATAGCTTAAAGGGGCTAATAATTTTGACCATAAAATGGTGTTTAAAAAATAAGAACTGCTCTTAATCTAGCCATAATGAAACAAATAAGACTTTTATTTTGTAATGAACTAAATGCAAAAAGCCTCCGCCCGTACGCCAGGGGCGTGCGAGCTTCGGGAGGATCGTGTGGGGAGGTAGGGCCACCTGTCTGCCAGCCAAACACTCATTGAGTATCTGGGGGACTCTGGTGGCCCAGCCATACCATACCAGGTTTCTCCCACACATCCAATTAACGCAGGTTAGTCAATTAGTTTTATACCAGACATATGAGACATGCTTCTCCTCCACGGTGAGGCGTTTTTTTAAACTGCTGCTAAATCCTATTAAAATAGAATAAACACGAGTTTACCAACAACATGGGGCTGCTTTTATTGTTTAAATATGTGTTAATTAGCATTTTGAACGTTTAATTAGCGATTGTTTACATTTCCCACAATGCATTGCGGCGATTAAAACACAAAGTCATTTTCTGCGTTCCAGACAAGTCCGAATCAGGATTTTCTCTACTTTTTTGATAGAAATGATGTCTTGAAGGCCGATCAACGCGTTCATTTCGGAGCTGGGACTCTCTGCGGTCACAGGTGAAAAAGATTTAAACTGTCGTTGGCCGTTTGATTGACAGGTGATCCGGCCAATCACAACGCTCATATGCTTTTGTCCACCGCCGAGAACTGCTCCTCGAGTGGAGATCTGCAGTCGCTAATATACTTGCAGTGAAATGTCGAGATGACCATTTTCAATTTCATTTTACAGTATTGATGTTATTTAGTTAAGATCTTATACTAAAGCTGTCATTTAGGCATTCAAACGCGGCGAGTTGATGATGGCGTGACTGGAAGCTTATTGAAAATGAAGTGCCTGAGGAACAGGTAAGGTTGTGCTCTATAAAACCACATTTACTCATCAATTATGACTGTATAAGGTTAAGTGGCACTTGACACGAGTACACACAAAAATAATAAATATATAAATGCCCTGTTTGGGTCAAATGCACACATCTCCTTGAAGCGGTCTGAGGTAAATAAAGTCTGTTCACTCGTGCTTTTCGCTGTCTGTGATACTCAAGCGAGCAGAATTATGATCATAATTATATTAAGGATGTATAAAGCTTTTAATTCGACAGGGTGTGACAAACTTACATTCTCTGTGTGCTGGAGTTAACCTCCACTAGCTCGGTTGGTTTTAGGTTTGATGTTCGCCAGACATTCGCGCACGCATTTTTAGGAATCGTCTGCGAATTACATGGACAGAACCAAAACGCAAAGAAGAATAAAGTATTTCTAGAAGATTCCAGTAAATGGTTAGAGGCTGGTTTACTACAAGTAACAATGCTATTACACCTCTAACTATACGGTACATACAGAGCAGAAATAGGCAACATCTCTTCTCATAATCATACAGTACACATCAGCTAAAGCTCTTAATATTTTCTGACGTTTTCCCCTTCATTTATGTATACATCACACAAATATATAGGTATAAATATTTACAGTATTTCACCTAGATGTAAGCTTCTCATTCTAAACTGTGAAAGTGTGAGAAAATATGAAGTGCTTTAGCTGATAAACCTAAAACCAACATTTCCGAGCTCAACTTGTACAGTCTAGATTTGGTAAATGTAGCTATTAGCTCCATACTGGTGTTTTCGCCTTCATACTCGAGGATGAGTACCAGATCTGCTTTCATTTACAAATATTATAACAATCTTAGTTTTAAAAATAGTAAATGAGCTCATTGTGTTAAATATTTTTTTTCTTTTGTGGTTTTTGATTGCTGAATCATTTGACTAATTGTCTAATAACAAAATCTTTTTTATGTTTGTTTTGTTTTAGGAGAAGGAATCCTGTTCAGCAAGAAGACAGGGATCGTTGTGAACTGGGATGGTGTGGAGAACTGCTGCCCTTTTCAGAGTGGAGGATGAGTGAAAACAAACCGAGTTCGTTACCCTGAAGCTAATCTATAAACCTAACCTAATGAGGATCGGGTTTTCTTTAGTAAACCCAGAGTTTCATTCACCCTTCTCTTACTTTTTAAAGCAAAATATGTATATCGGCTGAGTCAGTTTGCATTTCTGTGTGGGGTTTGCATCTTCTCCCCATGTTGGTGTGGGTTCCCTCCGGGTGCTCCGGTTTCCCCCACAGTCCAAAAGCATGCGCTTTAGGGGAATTGGGTGAACTACATTGCCCATAGTGTGTGTGTGTGTGTGTGTGTGTGTGTGAATGAGTGTGTATGGGTGTTTCCCAGTGATGGGTTGCTGGTGAAAAGGCATCCATTGCGTAAAACATATGCTGGATAAGTTGGCGGTTCATTCCGCTGTGGCGACCCCTGATAAATAGGGGACTAAGTCGAAGAGAAAATGAATGAATAAAATTGATTATTAAACAGTATACACTACGATCTACTGACAAAGCAAAAACGAATGAAGTGTGTATGTACTTGCATGGTGGGAGATGGGTAAAAAAATCTACTGTGTATACATTTATTTTTAAATTAATGCATGTCAGATTATAAAAACTCCAATCTGACATGTATTAATTTAAAAGAAATTAATACACATTTACAGAACTTAAAAAAACAAATACATAGTATTGTTTATTATTTTTACATAATAATCTTTATAATAGAAATGTAATCAAAATAATTACTTAATAAAAAATCATATAAACTCACTTTAATAATATGAACTTTTATAAAGCTAAAAAAAACTAAAGGAATGATACCATTAATAATGCTAAAAAATAATATAAATAATAATAATAATATTTATTATTTTCCCAGTGATGGGTTGCAGCTGGAAAGGCATCTGCTGTGTAAAACTTGCTGGATAACTTGGCGGTTCATTCCGCTGTGGCGACTCCAGATTAATAAAGGGACTAAGCCAAAAAGAAAATGAATGAATGTTCATTTTTGTTATTATTATCATCATTATTGAATCAAACATTTAAATCTGACTTGGGTAATAGAAATGTATGTATATAAACATTAAAATATACGTTCAAGTAATGTTAAAACTTCACAACAAACATTTAAAATAACTACCTAAAAATTAGCACCGTCTAGCCATTTAAATTTTAAAGAAACTATAAAACTATTGATAATAATATTTACTTGATTCATAACTTTGAAATCTGACTTTAAAATATAAACAATATTTGTAATAATAATAACATACTTATATATTTAGTAGTCATACAAACTTGAGAAACTATAATCTGTGCTAATACAGTAAACCGGGTCAATATGATTTCATTAGAATCATTTGCTGTTAAGGCAAGCTTTCATAAGGACGGTAATAACAGTACTGGACAATAATCATATAGACAACAGTGTGTGTTATAAGAAGTTTTATTTGTAACATAATACATAGATTTCTTTATATTTAGGTTTACAAAATAGTGCACATTGTAATTGAAATAAATGATTTAAAGAAATGTATTTAAAAAAAAATAATTTATACACAAATGGATTTTGTTTAATATTATACAACATACATGGATTTATAATACTGTACGTTTCCTGTACATCACATTTACAATATAAGTCTGACTTGTTTGTTAGGATGAAATGTATCAATCAGACTAGCTAGTAAAATATGTCAATGTAACATGGTAAAGGATGAAACTATGAATGAATGAATTTCATCTTGAGAAATTATGACCTAAACTGAATCATGCCACTCTTCATAATGCAACCATTTATTGGTTTATTATTATTATTATTATTATTATTCACACTGAAGGAAAGATGAATTAATCAACACTGTCCAGAATCCTCTCACGTGTAAAGCAACAAAGTTTTTATCTTTTTGGTTATTCAATATCTGACATCAGAGGTGTAAAGTAAAACTACAGCCTGTTCTTCATTTATTTTTATTAATGCTGATACTATAGATGAGACCTGTTTCATTTGCACTATGGCTAATATACATGGAGGTCTTCATTACACTCTCTCTGTGTGAGTTATTAAACATTGCTTTAACATTACACTATTTCTTCATTTAACTGATTGTATTAAGAATGAACGATTCCAGTAAATTGATTAGCAGTGTTAGTATTAATGTAAAGTGATTTTGGGATGGGGGTGATGGGGTTTGGTGAAGGATTTATAGGTCCCCACCAATATCAAGAGCAAACCTGTAACCCTTATGTGAGTTGATGATTAAAAAAGCAGTTCATTAATGCTGTTATTAGGCAAATATCCATATAATCCAGAGTCTTTTTTTTTGTCTCCAGCACTGAGTCTTCAGTTCTGTTGAATACAGTCTGCAGTGACTCCATAACCACCATCCTTTATTAGTTGTAGGTACTAAATGAAACACACAGTAACACACACACATTATGAAGCATTGCTGCAGACAGTAATTGAGGTCAATAATTGAAACGTATGCCTTCTGAATGTTGACTGGTAGCTCAAATGACATTATCATATAATATGCAAGTGATTACTACTTACCACAGTGTCTCCAGTTTACAATTAGGATCATCTTTTACATCAGAGAGCAGCTTCCCTCCTGAATCTCCTACATTATTCCCAGTCAGATCCAGTTCTCTGAGGTTTGAGGAGGGTGATCTCAGAGCTGAAGCCAAAGCAGTACAACCTTCATCCGTGATGCCACACTTAATCAACCTTCAGAACAACAAACACAGAGACATACAGTTAAGTTTTACTGTAACACTGCCCACGTTTTTCCTCCAGAAAGTATGCATTTAATTTATAACACATAATAAATAAGGCTAATGGAATTGAGAGTGCGGTCAGTGTGTTATGAGTGAAATGTATGCCTTCTGAATGACAAACACTGACAGTGTTAATCTGAGACCATTTTATTTACTTTAGAAACCAGATGCCCTTGTTGACGCAACACAGCCAACCCCTAATGTTGGGAATAGCCCACACATTATCATGGCATGTACCAACCAAAACATGGTTGAGACTAAAGCAGGACATCATTACAATTAGTTATAAAAAGGAATATTCCATCATTTTATGCTAATGTTTGTCTATATTTCAAAATAATTACTTATAATTAATAATAATTATAATCATTGCATCTTAAAGAGCCCCTATTATGTGTTTTTGAAAATGACTTTCCATGCAGTGTGCTCTAAGTTAAGGAAAACATCCAGCTAAGGCTTAAATCTGAAAGTGCAGCATGTTTAAAACTATTGATTCTTTAGCGAAATATTTGACTCAGAGAGAGTTGAATAAATGAATCGAGTTGGGTTCTGATTTGTTGATTGAATGTGTCAATCTCAATATGGTACATTACCAAACATGTAGTACTGGATCCGATAAAATGCGAACCCACTTTCCTTTCAGATACCAGTGGAGCGCAGGGGATTACAGGACTGATTATGACGCGAAGATGACGATCACTGACAGATTCGGTTGAGGGGAATAAGGGGTTAAAGTTAATTTTTACAACAACACCACAGTATAGCCAACCATGTGCTTTGTGTGTTCCAGTTTTTTTTTTTTTATTTAAATATTTTCTTATTTAATGCGATAACCTATGCTGCAATACAGGATTTGCCGACCGTTTGCTATTGAAGCAGCAGCAGAGACAACTTTGTCTTTGTCAGACTTTGACAAGGACTTAGTCAGTAACTTTTACAATTTATATGGACCAGTTTCTTCTTCCTCCGCATCATAACATGAAAGTGTCATTAAAATTGTCCCCTCGTTTTGTGTACTTTGCAAAATATGTGTTTAATTGTGTGTTATTAGTTATAAGCCCAATTGGCTTGTAATCACGTATCTATTATAGATCAGTGCTTGTACTGTATCTCTCAGGTTAAATCTGTATGAGACTGTTCACATATTGTGTCCAAAACCACTTTAAAAACGCGTGACGTGTGCTTCTTCCTTTACCGATTTTAAATGCGTTTCTGAACTGGCGATACTCTGCTGATTGCCTTTGCTTTGGCCACCATCAGCTGTTCCTCACATGTGCGGCAGGGTCAATTTTCAAAATAGTTTAACTTTTGCTGCTGTGTGGAATAATACTGATGAACGTGTGTCTTTGTTATTACTTGGGGTTCAGTGTTAAGATTAGAGTATATACTAGTGTTTAACTGCATTGCTTTATTGCATTCTTGCATTGGGCTCTCACATACTCTGTGTGCTACTTCATAGCCATGATGGGCATTTCTCTCAGTCTCGCGCTGAACCCAGTCGACCAATCACAACAGAGTGGGTCATCAGTCCAATTAGCGCAGATTAGCCTCACGCAAAGGAGAGGTTTGGGAAAAAATTAATTGCTAAACGATTCATATGGGAGTCACTGGGATAATAAGCTAAAAATAAATGCATATTATTGGACAATAATAGTGTTTTTTGACCTTGCCTGCATATTAGACTGTTGTTGGAGACTCCCAAAACCAAAATTTGCTCCCCTTAAATGTTTATTCATTTATTTTCTTCCGCTTTTCCAGGGCCGGGTCACTAGGGCAGCAGTCTTAGGAGAGAACGTCAGACTTTCCTCTCTCCAGACACTTACTCCAGCTCCTCTGGGGGGATCCCGAGGTGTTCCCAGGCCAGGCGAGAGACATAGTCCCTCCAGCATGTTCTGGCTCTTCCCCAAGGCCTCCTCCAGGAACCAGGAACATGCCTGTAACCTCAGCTGACTTCTCTTGTTGTGAAGAACCAGCGGCTCTACTCCAGGCTCCTCCTGAGTGACAGAGCTCCTCACCCTATCTATAAGGGTGCGCTCTGCCACCCTGTGAAGGAAACTCATTACTAGGCCCACACGGAATCTGCATGCGCAGAATTACGCAGATTTCTGCACATTTTTAGCCCATTATTAATTCTGTTTATTTACTTGAGTAAATGTGTAAATCTGAATTTATTCAGTAATTTATTACTTTTTATTTAATATATTAAGGTTTTAGTTATGATACTCTGCTGGATACTCCCAAAATAATTCCGCAGAAATCTGCAGATTTTTACCAAAATTCTTCGCAAAAATGGCAAAAAATGTCCGCAGATTCCGTCTGGCCCTGCTCATTACTGTTGCTTGTATCAGCTCATCAAGCTCATGACCATAGGTGAGAGTATGAATGTAGATTGACAGGTAAATCAAGACCTTTGCTGCACTGATCAGCCTGTCAATCTCACGTTCCATCCTTCCCTCACTCACAAACTAAAACCCAACATACTTTAACCTGAAGATAGCACCACTCTAGAGCACATCTCACATTTTTTGAAAGCAGTGTGTTAGCAGTTGAAAAGTGTGCTGAAAATATTTAGTTTTGCATGTTGTGGAGAATAATGACAAACCGAAAGCAAAATTATTTGCAGTATGTTCAGTATGTCTTTTGTACCACTGAATATGTAAACAGTTTTTAATTGCGGCACAGTTATTAAAAAAAACTCTTACTAACTAATGAAAAAAATTATTTATTTAATCTGGATAAGGTTAATGTCTGATCTCACCTCAGTTTCTCCAGTTTGCAGTGAGCATCCTTCAGTCCATCAGACAGCAGCTTCACTCCTGAATCTCCAAGTTTATTCCCAGTTAGATCCAGTTCTCTGAGGTTTGAGGAATTTAATTTCAGAGTTGAAGCCAAATCGGCACAATCTTCGATTTCACAATTGCACAACCTGCAGAACAAGGTCAGTTCTCAGTTCAGCAGAAACAACAATCAACACAGAGTCAAATTACAATTTACAATTACACTTTTTCAAAGTTGTGAGAACATCAACAGACCATGTGTTGTGTTTTGTTTTAAGACAATATGCATCTAATGACTAATATTTTCATGACTTGATTTATTTTCTTACACACAACAAATGTATGTAAACAGTATGTACCTACAGGCCAGCTCATTTACATACTCTATTCAAACTGTTATTCAAACTTTAAAATACAAATAAAAAAACAAACCTGATGAAAATCTGCTACAGTTCTACTGTAACAACACTGAACTTTAATCCAAATCTAGAATACAATTAAAACAATTTGATAGTGTATTTTGAAGGCCAGTGGCTTGGATAAGTACGAGTCCTTTTCCAAATTACATGAGCCTGTTAACACCTAGTAATTTCATGCATTTTCTTTTATCGTATAGCTATCTAATTTGTAAATACCGATAGATTTATTTTTGGCCACAGAAATGTGTCTGCTAAACAGATATAAACTGATCTGAACCCTGATATGCAAATTTAACTGCACTCAAAAAATTAAGTTAACTGTTTGCTTAAATTACTTATTTAAAATGAGCTGAAACACACAATTCTTAAGGCTTTTTGGGACAACTTGGTTGTTTTATGTTCAATCTACTTAGATTTCTAAATAAACATAAAATAAATTAATTCTGTCATGTTGTCCAACCACAAATGTGGAACCCGGAATTATTTTCGGTGTAGGTTATGACTAAAAGAGACACCATATTTTATACAATTCATTCATTCATTGTCTTGTCGGTTTAGTCCCTTTATTATTCCGGGGTCGCCACAGCGGAATGAACCGCCAACTTACCCAGCAAGTTTTTACGCAGCGGATGCCCTTCCAGCCGCAACCCATCTATTAACAGATTAATGTATGATCTCACCTCAGTTTCTCTAGTTTACAGTGAGGATCCTCTAGTCTAGCAGAGAGCAGCCTCACTCCTGAATCTCGGAGTCTGTTGTCACACAGATCCAGTTCTCTGAGATTTGCGGTGGAGACTGATCTCAGAGCTGAAGCCAAAGCATCACAACCTTTATTTGTGATGCCACAATTCTTCAACCTGCAGAACAATGACATTTTTTTCGCTCTTTAGTTGAAACTAAAGAGATTGTTGTGTGTTTTATGATATGCTGTATTAAATTTAAACATTTATTGTTTTTCTTATGATTTACCATGTATTCATGAACATTACATAAAACATTAGGTCAGGAAAATTGACTTGAAACTCAGTTTGACTTGAAAAAGTCTTGGCATTTTTTTTTTTTGTAAAAATGTGTATGAACCCTGTAGGTAAATCAAGCACAAACCGCAGCTATAAAAAGGCATTATCAATGGAGCGTGGATATTACGAGTCAACATGGAAACATCTGAAAAAAAGACATCAGCATTTCTTTCCAGGTGATCTTGATGTGCTCATGCAAAGTTATAGCACAGGGGTGTGCAAACTCAGTCCTGGAGGGCCGGTGTCCTGGAGAGTTCAGTTCCAACCCTAATCAAACACACCTGAACTAGCTAATCATGCTCTTATTAGGTGTATTTAAGCAAGTTACAGCTAAACTCAGCAGGACACCAGCCCTCCAGAACTGAGTTTGGACACCCCTGTTCTAGCAAAAATGACCATTTATTTTAAAAAGCTACACAACTGCATCGCTGAAACAGAGATGGTTAGCATGGGAAAACAGCTGCTCAAGTTAATGCACAAGTTTACATTTGAAATATTTGAAGTATTTAACTATTTAAGTATAAAATAAGTAATGTAATGTGTGACTTTTATAGACTGTTCACTTTTCACAGAAGAAAAATCGCAACGCCTATTAAACAGCTGTCTGTGATCACACCAAACCAATGAACAAGGATCACAGTGTCAGCCTGTGCTTTCGTCATGTGACCTTCTCCATGCTCCCTTGTTCTGTTTCCCGCCGTTTCATTGTGTTAATCAGTTTCACCTGTGTTCATCCCCTGTGTGTGATTAGAATCATCATGTCCTGTGTATGTATAGTCCTGTATGTTGTTCAGTCCTTCGTCTGCTATTCTCTTGGTTATGCTTGTTAACAACCCATGTTGTCTCTGAATCTCCTGTGTTTCCCATGTCATGTGAGTGTTTATCAATGATAACTCCAACAATCCTTTGCCTTGCTGAGAGAGGCCAGACGTGACACACAGATTTTAGGATAGAATTAAAGAACTCTTAAGATTTCTCAAATTGGTCTCAGACAACCAAATCGTGTCTGATATTGTACAGTTTGAGCCAGGCTTAATGAGAACCAGACTAAAAAAAAACTACACCATTGGTTATTATAATTTGTTATTATTGTTAATTTTGATTGATCTCACCTCAATGCCTCAAGTTTACAGTGAGGATTCTTCAGGCCAGCAGACAGCAGCTTCACTCCTGAATCTCCGAGTCTATTCCCAATCAGATCCAGTTCTCTGAGGTTTGAGGAGGCTGATCTCAGAGCTAAAGCCAAAGCAGCACAACCTTCGTCTGAGATGCCACAATAACACAACCTGCAGAACAAGAACACAATCTTTATTCTCAGTTCAGCAGAAATAAAGACAAAACAGATACATTAATCAATTAACATGTAATCTGTGTGCAATTTAGATATTTGTTGACTTTTGTTTATAATGTGAATCACTGGGGGGTGGCATGGTGGCTTAGTGGGTAGCACTGTCACCTCACAGCAAGAAGTTAAAAAGTGTACTATAACATTACTGCATTTAATTAGATTTGTTTCTTATTTTATTGGGACAAACTGCAATAATACTGTTATCATCATTGTTAATTTAAAATGGCTATAATGTCTGACTTGATAAACAGAGGTAATGTGACCACAGTAGGTTCACGGTAAGCACCAAACCAAATCTCCAAGTCATCTAATAAGAACCATTATTGAAAAAAACTTGTTTAAGCTCTTGATTATATTGATAGACTCTTAATGGAATAAATTTTGTTTAAGTTGAGATTAATGTAGGCTCGTACCTCAGTATCTCCAGTTTACAGTCCTTCAGTCCATCAGAGAGCAGCTTCACTCCTGAATCTCTGAGTTTATTCCCAGACAAATCCAGTTCTCTGAGGTTTAAGTTTGATCTCAGAGCTGATGCCAAATCAGCAGAACCTTCATTTGAGATGCCACAGTTAAACAACCTGGAGAACAACGACACACTATTCACTCTCAGATCAGCAAGAGCAAAGTCAAAATCTCAGGTCACGCATATCACCATGATTCTCTGAAAGGGAACAACATACTGTGCCAAAATAACTATTTTGATATATATATATATTTATTTAATTTTTTTTTGTATATATATTTGTAATGTGACCATAGAATGTGACCCAAACCATATATTATTTTATTATATTATTTTATATGATTTTATATTATATTATATTTTTATATTATTTTATTACATTATATTATTTCATATATTATAATATTTTATAAATTATGTTATTTTATTTTATATATTGTATTATATTTATTATATTATTTTTTCAATGAATGATCTTACATCAGTTTCTCCAGTTTACAGTGAGGATCCTTCAGCGCAGCAAAGAGCAGCTTCACTCTCGAATCTCCTACATAAATCTCAGTCAGATTCAGTTCTCTGAGATTTGAGGAGTGTGAACTCAAAGCTGAAGACAAAACAGCACAACCTTCATCTGAGATGTCACACTTACTTAACCTGCAAAAGAAAAACACAATCTTCACTCTCAGTTCAGCAGAAACAATTAACACAGAGATATTTATCAATTAAATCTGTAATCTGTGTGGGTATGTTTTTGTTAGATTTTTGCAATTATAATAGCATAGTATAAAGGCAGACCATTAATATATTATATAAAATAGTTTTAATTAAAATAATTGTATGATCTTATAGTAATTTCTTCAGCTTACAGTGTACCTGCAGTACAATGACACATTGTTATTTCACTTAATTTCCAGTCAGAGGTTGAAGTTAATTTCGCTGTTATGCGTTTTCCCTTGTTTTCTGTGGTTTTTCAAAAATGTGATTTGTTTCATCATGTGATTAAAATTTCGGTAAGCAGCTGAGAGAATGTTCTTCCTCAAAATAATCTCTAGAAATGCCTTTTGTAAAAGCCACTGTCAGCACAAAAACACATGGGTTTACACAAAACATGTAGTATACTTAATGTTATATAATCACTACATAGCTAGTCAAAATACACCTTTATTTTAAACTAGCAATCGTATTAATTGATTTTAAATGCTAATACTAATGTTACGTTTCTTGATGTTTGTCTTCAATAGAGATTTTGAAGTTTTGTTTTTTAGTAGTGCTTTTAAAGTTGTACTACACCAGTATTGGCAACACACTGTATAGAGGCAGAATTTGGGCACCATGCTTTCACACAGGGCAGGTTTGATGCATATAAACTGAACTTCAATAATAAACATTTTAATACTGCAAATGTCTTTTACTTACAGAATTCTGTCTTTATCCACATCAACGAAGAGACAAGTGTCATTTATTACACATTGTTTCCTCAACATTCTACACACAATCCCCTATAATGACAATGTGAAAAAAGATTTTTTGAAATTGTTGCAAATTTATTAAAAATAAAAAAGCTGAAGAATCACATGTAGATGAGTATTGACAGCCGTTTGCGTGAAGCTCTAAACTGAGCTCAGGTACATTCTGTTTCCACTGATCATTCTTGAGATGTTTCAGCAGCTTCATTGGAGATCACCTGTGGTAAACTCAGTTGATTGGACTTGATTTAAAAAGGCTCACACCTGTCTATAGAAGCTCCCAGGGTTGACAGTGCAAGTCAGAGCACAAACCAAGCATGAAGAAAAAGGAATTGTCTGTAGACCTCCGAGACAAGATTGTTTTGAGGCACAAGGCTGGGGAAGGTTACAGAAAAATGTCTGCTGCTCTGAAAGTTCCAGTGAGCACAGCGGCCTCCATCATCCGTAAGTGGAAGATGTTTGGAACCACCAGGACTATAGCTGGCCAGTCACCTAAGCTGAGTGATCGGGGGAGAAGGGCCTTAGTCAGGTGAGGTGATCAATAACCAGAACGTCACTCTATCTGAGCTCCAGCATTCTTCTGTGGAGAGAGGAGAACCTAACAGAAGGTCTACAATCTGTGCAGCAATCCACCAATCAGGCCTGTATGGTAGAGTGGCCAGACGGAAGCCACTTCCCGGCTGGAATTTGCCAACAGGCATCTGAAGGACTCTCAGACCATCAGAAACTAAACTCTCTGGTCTGATGAGACTCAAATTAAACTCTTTGGAGTGAATGTCAGGCGTTACGTTTGGAGAAAACCAGGCAGCGCTCATGACCAGGCTAATAGCATCCCTACAGTGAAGCATGGTGGTGGCAGCATCATGCTGTGGGGATGTTTTTCATGGAAGACTAGTCAGGATAGAGGGAAAGATGAATGCAGCAATGTACAGAGACATCCTGAGTAAAAACCTGCTTCAGAGTGCTCTTGACCTCAGACTGGGGCGATGGTTCATCTTCCAGCAGGACAATGATCCAAAGCACACCTCCAAAATATCAATGGAGTGGCTTCACAACAACTGGTAAATGTTCTTGAGTGGCCCAGCCAGAGCCCATATCTAAATCCTATCGAACATCTCTGGAGAGATCTGAAAATGGCTGTACACCGTTGATTCCCATCCAACCTAATAGAGCTTGAGAGGTACTGCTAAGAGGAATGGGCAAAAATTCCCAAAGACAGGTGTGCCATGCTTGTGGCATCATATTCAGAAAGACTTGAGGCTGTAATCGCTGCCAAAGGTGCATCAACAGAGTGTTGAGCAAAGGCTGTGAATGCTGATGTACCTTGGATTTTACAGCTTTTTTTTATTATTAATAAATTTGCAACAATTTCAAAAACTCTTTTTTCACATTGTCATTATGAGGGATTGTGTGTAGAATATTAAGGAAATCAATTAATTAATTTGTGAATAAATTTGTAACATAAACAAACATGAAAAAGAGAAGTGCTATCAATACTTTCTTGATGCACTGTATATTGGTCCATGGGGAAACAAATAAAGGAACTAAAGCAGAGCCTCAAGGCAAAATAATTAGCCTTTAATGTTGAATAGGAGGAAATGCCTCCACAAAACATATTTTGTGTGAATAAAATGAGTATTTATTTATTATTATTAATTAGTTTATTATTGAAAAAAATGTATACTGCCATCAACAACAAAGACAAATAAAGCACTGCACTACAACAAACACACACACACAAATAATACTTACCTAGCCGATCTAGAGGCTTCAACTACGGGCACGAGCTTCTGAAGAACTTCATCAGGTGTCATGACGTTTTCATGTTTTTCTCTGCTTATATATTTGCTCAAATCAAAAGAATCCAGCTGCTCAGAGTTCACCAAAACAAAAACAACAGCAGACCACTGCGAGGAGGACAATCTGGTGTTTAAAAGACATCCAGATCTAACATACTGCTGGACTTCCTTCACAAGAGAAGGATCACCGAGTTCATTTAAACAGTGGAACAGATTGATGGATTTTTCCGGTGAGGGATTCATTCTTATTCTTGTTTTAATGTACTCTGTTGATTTCTCTTCACTGAATGAGATGTTTCCAAGATTTGTCAGAAGACCTTTCAGGAGCATCTGATTGGACTCTAGTGAAAGACCCAGAAGAAATCTGAGGAAAAGGTCCAGATGTCCATTTTTACTCTGCAGAGCTTTGTCCACGGCTCTCTGGTGCAGGTCAGATATTGTGTGACATGTGAATTTACGTGCATGTGTTGATCTGAGGTTTTCATTAAGCACATCCCTCTTGTACAGCGAGAATGAAAGCAGCACATGTAGAGCTGCGAGATGCTCCTGAATGCTGAGATGAACAAAGCAGAAAACTCTTCCCTGATACCAGCCCAGCTCCTCTCTGAAGATCTGAGTGCACAGTCCTGAGTAAACCGAGGCTTCTGCCACATCAATGCCACACTCTCTCAGGTCCTCCTCATAGAAGATCAGGTTGCCTTTCACAAGCTGCAGAAAGGCCAGTTTCCCCAGTTTGAGGATTATCTCTTCGTCCTCCACAGTCTTCTCATAGTGCTTCTTATGTTTGATGTTGGTCTGAATGATCAAGAACTGCGTGTACATTTCAGTGAGAGTCCTGGGAATCTCTCCTTTACGTGATCTCATCATCTGTTCCAAAACACTTGCTGAGATCCAGCAGAACACTGGGATGTGGCACATGATGAAGAGACTCCTGGTGGACTTCAGGTGTGAGATGATTTTGTTAGCCAGACTCTGATCTCTGATCTTCTTCCTGAAGTATTCCTCTTTCTGAGGGTCATTAAAGCCTCGTACCTCTGTCAATCGATGGACAAACTCAGAGGGAATGAGATCTGCTGCTGCTGGTCTGGAGGTGATCCAGATGAGAGCAGAGAGAAGCAGATTCCCTGCAATGAGGTTCATCAGCAACACATCCATTGAGGCGGATTCAGAGACATTATGCAGTCTCACATTACTCTTAAAGTCCAGAGACAGACGACACTCATCCAGACCATCAAAGATGAACAACACTTTATATCTGTCAATGGGTATCTCCATTTCTTTGGTTTCTGGGAAAAACAGATGAAGAAGATCTGCAAGACTGAGTATTTTGTCCTTCATCAGGTTGATCTCTCTGAAAGGAAGAGGAAATATGAACTGGATGTCCTGATTCTCCTTCCCTTCAGCCCAGTCCACAATGAACTTCTGCACAGAGACTGTTTTTCCAATGCCAGCGACTCCCTTCATCAGCATCGTTCTGATGGGTTTGTGTTGTCCAGGTAAAGGTATAAAGATGTCTCTACATTTGATTGCTGTGTCCTTTGGTGCTGTACTCCTGGATTGTGCCTCAATCTGTCTCACCTCATGTTCAGTATTGACCTCTCCACTGTCTCCCTCTGTGATGTAGAGCTCTGTGTAGATCTCATTCAGCAGTGTTGTGTTTCCCTGCATTACTGTTGCCTCAGACAGACACTGACATTTCTTCAGCATGTTTGTTTTGAATGACTTGTAGATTTTGACATGGCTGTAAGATTTAAAATAAAACCTGTTAAATACATGTATTTGATGACAGTATTTTTGTGTAAAGAGACATTTTAGTTTAGTAAGTTAGGAACTTAATGCTTTGGAAAATTATGTGGTATAAATTGTTGAAATATTCAGATCACAGTTTAACAAAACATTAGAAAAAGAGAAGAAATAACAGAAGGTCTGGTTGAAGTATGTTAAATGCAGTGGTTGAGCACATCATAACCAGGGCCGGCGCGTCCATAGAGGCAACCTAGGCGGCAGTATAGAGAGGGCGGCATCTGCGACACCTCCATTACCACCCGCGTCCTCAGTTATGTACCTCCCTCCCTCCCTCAGCACTCGCGCATCCTCAGTTATATCTGCGCATAGGGCGGCAGAATAGAGGTCCGCAATAATTTAACAATAATAAAGTCCTTACATTTATTTAGCACTTTTCTGGACACTCAAAGCACTTAAGACATTTTTGGAGAGAATATCCTCATCCACCACCAGTGTGCAGCATCCACCTGGATGAGAGCAGCCATATTGCACCAGCTGATTGGTGGAGAGGAGACGGTGATGAAGCCAATTACAATATGGGGAGGGTTTGGAGGCCATAATGGCTAAAATGGCTTAAACCCCTACTATTTTTTTGAAGGACTTCCTGGAATTTTTAACGTCTCATCTGAAAGACGGCGCTTACTGAGCAACATACCCTTCACTATACTGGGCATTAGGACCCGCATAGGTTGGGCGCCCCCTGCTGGCCACACTAACACCACTTCCAGCAGCAATCCAGCTTTCCCATGTGGTCTCCAATCCAGGTACTGACTGGGCGCAGCCCTGCTTAGCTTTAGTGGGCGACCATGTGAGAGTTGCAGAGAGCTAGCTGCCGGCAATTTATGATTTAAAAACGTGCCTTTAAAGCATATTCAGATTGTTTGGTTAAAATTAAAAAATAGCACAACAGTAATTACTAAAGCAGTCGCGATCCTCTGATCTCATATCAAGCATGAGATCACGATGACATATGATGACGTGTGCAGGTCCTGTAGTGCTGTCCCAATTCTTAGGGGTGAGATCTTCCTTTTCACACTCTGTTTCAAGGGGTAGGGGTATGAAAATAGAATTGGGATTGGGCCTAAGTGTTTTGATACAATCATTTACAAAACTAAAAATCTTCTTATGAGTGAAGAATTGTCAAGTATGTTTACCATACTCAAAATTGGTCCTCTGCTTTTGACCAATCTAAGTGCAAACACAAGTAAAAGGTGAGAGCACACACAAAGTGAACGGAGCAGTACTTCTAGTGCCAGGGTTGCAACTGGGGCAGATCAGCTACGTATTCAATTTCGAGAGAGTGAGGTTCATTCAACATTAAAGCTTCTGTTTACAATGTGTGTTTTCAGACACAAAGGTGCATTCTTTTTGAATGGCTCCAGTTGTTCAGTTGTTGCATTGCTGCGTTTTTTTGGTCTAAATCCTGACTCATCTGGACAGACTATTGCTTATTAATAAATGTTTAACTTTTGTTTAACAATGACTATATTTGGCATCATAGTGAAAGAACTAAAACATGACCCTTGTGCTGTGATGATTCAGGATGAATACATATAACTTAACACCCCTAATATATATTTAGATATATAAATATTTTCATTAAAAGGCTCCTATTTTACCCCTTTTTCAAGATTTAAGATAAGTCTTTTGTGTCTCCAGAATGTGTCTGTAAAGTTACTGTAAAGCTGTTAGGAAATTCTAGCTGTTTTTGTTACCTGTGCCTTTAATGCAAAAGCTGGTTCTTAAAATCTTTTATTATGTACTCTTTATTATGTCAACTTTAATATTTTTTTTATTATGTATGCTTGTTCTCTGTGCCAGGAAACAGTAGGCCAATCATAGACCCAGAACACAAATCAATACACAGCCAGAATTGTCCACCTTTGTGTGTTTCTGTGCATGTTCTTATACATTCTCTTACCTTTTACCTTCTCTTTCCTTTCTTGAGAACATCTGCTCTGCTCAATCATGTTTGCGATTTCAATTCAAGTATATCCCTGCCCTAGTGTGTTTTGTGTACCTGTTCCAGTGTTTTCTGGTTCTCTGCCCTGTCTTCATAGAAACACCGCTGGGCTCTGCAGGGTTTGATCTGTGCATTAAAGATAAACACAATAAGTCAATGTAATTTACACACTCCCTCATTCACAACTTTTGAGACGTATGACTAAATTACTCCATTAAAATGCGTTTTGCAAGCGTTCTTCCAACTTCCAAATTGTGCAGTTGTTAAGTAAGATCTTTTCATAAACATCCTGTGCAATGCATTAATTTTAGCCACTTTACAGGGTTAATTATTTCTATATTCTGAGACAGAAAACTCTAAATGATAACTAGTTTAATAGAGTATTTACCTGAACGTATTTGGAGGATCCATTGACTGATGACTCTTTACAGACACACTGCTGGGTTCTGCTGGGTTTGATCTGTGTATTGAAGATAAACACAATAATATGTTAACGCTGTTTACACAATCTAACTGATTTAGGTGATTAAATATACAAATAATGTGTATTATAGACTTTACAAAAAGTGCTCATCCACATTTCAGTTCTTATCCTTTGTGCAAACACTTTAGTCTCTTTACAGAATTAATAATGAACCACAAAACATAAACTGTTTAAAGCAAATATTGCCTATTTATTTATACATTTTTAATAAACACGTAAAATCAACACGTATTCCAATTTTGGTTAAAAAATTGGTTGGGACAGGAGTGATTAAGAGCTGTCAGCAAACACAGGAAAAAATAAATAATTTAGTCTTTATTATGTAGTATGCAAGAGTTTTTGCAATTGTTATATTGAAATGCTGTTTTTTTGGCTTAGGTTGGGGTAAATTCAGTGTGAATAAGTTTCTTACAGTATAATAAATGTCAAAATTATGCATATTAGCAAAAAATAGAAATTCCAAGATTTCTTAGAAATCAATAGAAGTCTGACAAAAACGACTGCAGGCTTCTGTTCTAAGATAAACAACTGAGCAGTAGGCGCTTTTAATTTTATTTCGTAAACCTTCTTTAGAAGTGTGTAGCGCATTGTGAGCTCTAAAAATCTCAAACCAAAAAAAAAGGGGAATTTTGTCTTTATCATGTAGTATTCAAAGTTTATTGTGATTAAAGTACTGGTAACCCATTTATTGTGGGGGGAGGGGGGGATTGCACATTTAATATACATGTCAAAATGATGCATATCTGTAGACAATAGAGATTATAAGCTTTCAAATGGTACCATACATTGGGATATACTGCATGCCCACCACAGGCCTGTACAGCTTAAGTAAGATCATAAACATCCTCAACAACTCACTTCATACATTAATCTAGCCACTTTACAGGGTTAATTATTTCTATATTCTGAGACAGAAAACTCTAAATGATAACTAGTTTAATAGAGTATTTACCTGAACGTATTTGGAGGATCCATTGACTGATGACTCTTTACAGACACACTGCTGGGTTCTGCTGGGTTTGATCTGTGTATTGAAGATAAACACAATAATATGTTAACGCTGTTTACACAATCTAATTAAGGTGATTAAATATACAAATAATGTGTATTATAGACTTTACAAAAAGTGCTCATCCACATTTCAGTTTTGCTCATTTTAAAATATCACTGAAATCCTTTGTACTAACACTTTAGTCTCTTTACAGAATTAATAACGAACCACAAAACATAAACTGTTTAAAGCAAATATTGATGCCCAATTTTTCTTCTTCTGTGAGGGGAACAATACATTCATTTGTATAACCCCAAATCTGAAAAGGTTAGGACAGTATGGAAAACACAAATATAAAAAGAAAGAAGTGATTTTTAAATTTATTTGTAATGAAATGTGTATTTATTGTGCATGGCCATACACACAAATCAATTCACAATCTCAATCCACTTGGATGATGCGACGGCAGCTACAGGACAATGGGCCAGTGCTTCACCACACACCAGCTATTGGTGGAGTGGAGAGACAGCAATAGAACCAATCTGGTGGATGGGGACGATTGGGAGGCCATGATCGGTGTTGGATATTTGGCCAGGACATCGGGGTTATACCCCTACTTTTAACGAGAAGTGCCATGGACCACAAAGAGTCAGTAACCATGGTTCAACGTCTATTCTGAAAGTAGGTGCTCACTGACAGTATAGTGTCCCCTTCACTTTTACTGGGGCATTAGAACTCACGCAGACCACAAGTTGAGCGCCCCCTGCTGGCCTCACTAACACCCCTTTCAACAGCAATCTAGTTTTCCCATGTGGTCTCCCATCCAGGTACTGACCAGGCTCAGCCCTGCTTGGCTTCAGTGAGTAACCGATCTTGGGCTCAGGGTGATATGACTATGGCTGTACTTTGACTTGTATTTCATTGCATGAAATATGTATTTCATTTCATTTAATGTGTACCCCCTGATTTAAAATAATAATAATAATAATAAAAATAAAAAAAATATGTATACAGTTGAAGTCAGAATTATTTGCCCCCCTGTTTATTTTTTCCCCAGTTTCTGTTTAACGGAGAGCAGATTTCTTCAACACATTTCTAATCATAATAGTTTGTTCTGTATTTTGTAGAAACAAAATAGCTTAAAGGGGCTAATAGCTTTGACCTTAAAATGGTGTTTAAAAGATTTAAAACTGCTTTTATTCTATATCCAAAAAAACAAAACAAAAAAACAAATAAGACTTTCTATATATATATATATATATATATATATATATATATATATATGTCGACAAACAAAGGAAGTGTCAGCAACCACTGGAAAAAATAAATAATTCTGTATTTATTACGTAGTACGCAAAAGTTGTTGTATTGGGGGTGTAAATTCAGTGTAAATAAGTTTCTTGTAGTAAAATAAATAGCATTTTAGCAAAAAAATTGTAATATAGTAATATACATGCCAAAATGATAGTGTAGATGATCTGTAGACAATAGAGATTATAAGCTTTCAAATGGTACCATACATTGGGATATACTGCATGCCCACCACAGGCCTGTACAGCTTAAGTAAGATCTTTTCATAAACATCCTGTGCAATGCATTAATTTTAGCCACTTTACAGGGTTAATTATTTCTATATTCTGAGACAGAAAACTCTAAATGATAACTAGTTTAATAGAGTATTTACCTGAACGTATTTGGAGGATCCATTGACTGATGACTCTTTACAGACACACTGCTGGGTTCTGCTGGGTTTCGTCTATTAAAGATAAGCACCACATGTTAATGCTGTTCACACAATCTAACTGATTTAGGTGATTAAATATACAAATAGGCGCAGTAGGTAGTGCTGTCGCCTCACAGCAAGACGATTGCTGGTTCGAGCCTCGGCTGGGTCAGTTGGCGTTTCTGTGTGGAGTTTGCATGTTCTCCCTGTGTTGGTGTGGGTTACCTCCAGGTTTCCCCACAGTTCAAACACATGCGGTACAGGTGAATTGGGTATGTGTGTGAATGAGTGTGTATGGATGTTTCCCAGAAATGGGTTGCACATGGAAGGGCATCCGCTGCATAAAACATATACTGGATAAGTGTTGGTGGTCCATTCCGCTGTGGCGACCTCAGATTAAAATGAATGAATGAATATACAAATAATGTGAATTATGCTGTTGGAGACTCTTGGTGCTCTTCATTTCAGTTTTGCTCATTTTAATAATATCTTCTGAAATCTTTTGTTAAACAGTTTTGTCCCTTCACAGAAACAATATTATTTTCTATGTTCCAGAAAGTTCACAAAATCCAGTAACATAAATGGTTTAAAGCGATTATTGATCACAAAAATAAAAAAAACTTACAAAATGTACTTAACAAAAACAAAGAAATACAAAGAAAACACTGCACAAGTTCAAGATGATGGCATAAAGCACATCCTGTTTGCTTTTTCATTGTATACTGAGCATAGAATGTCAAGGTTATCGCTTTTCACTTTGGTAAAAGTACACATAATTAGAAATTCGAGGGTGAAATAAACCCTTTTTGTTCAGCTTTACAGCGCAGCTTAATGACAGACGCTTTCACATTAGAATTTTACTGCATATTTACAGATATTTACCAAACAAAAAACATTGCTTCGGGGCGGGGCATTTTTCAGCCATGGAGTTTCAAGCCTCAGACCGGCCCACCTCTATTATATTAAAATATAGACATTTCCAATTCAGTTTCTAATTACACTATCACGTCTTTTTTTGTTGAGAAAACAGCTGCTTTAGAACTTTAAATGTTCAACAACCTAAACTGTATTAACAATAAAAATGAAAAATAAATAAATAAATAAATAAATAACATAACAGACGAGGATCAAACCCGGGTCGGCGGCGTCACAATCTATCGTGCTAATCACTAAACCACAACAGTTGAATGATAAAAAGTGACTCATCTGAGTTATATCATCATTAACCTGCAGGCTGGTTATATATGAAAAGAGCAGAGCTGCGGTAAAATAATGAATAAAAAAGACTGTGGTCAAGTAAATAAGTAAATAAATAAATTTAAAAAGTGTGACTGCTGAGAGCAACAGATTCTGGAGCTAGGGACACCGGCCCTCGCGACCAAAAAAGGACCGGCACACCGGGAATTCTCCCGGTCCTCCCGATGAGCTAATCCGGGCCTGATTCGGGGTATGAACATACGAGTTTCCGGCTTCATAAGATGCGCAGTAACGCACGTTATCTTCTTTTATCTTATCGGTAATTCTCACCTGTGTGGAAATGTATCTCCGGGCAGGTCTTCATCTTCATGTTTACGATTATCCATCTCGAAAAATTTCGACCCCCCCCCCGCCCCTCCGAAATCTTATCACTTTTACATAAGCAAGTAAATATTTCCGTTTACCGAAAATGTCTGGTCATTTACACTTTCACTTTTATTCCAGACATCACATGAGCAGATAACTACGGAACCCCGGAAGGGACGTTGAATTGGTTGAACCACTCCTTGAGGAAACTTTCTTATTATGATAAAAATTGGAAGTGGCTATTTGCACTGCAGTATGCACATAGTACTAAATGCAATTTACACTTAGTGATAATAGAAGGTAGGTACTATTTACACAGTGTTTATACAAGAAAGATGCATTAAGATGTTCGCTGAATAATACAATGGGGAGATAACAAGTGATATTGCACTAACAAATTAAATGTGCTAATCTATAATGCTCATTAAGATATATATATAATGCAGGATCACTTAATACAGTGTAATTTACAGTAGTGTCAAAACTGTAATGCTTGCTTCAAAGTACATACATGCAAGAGTGTTAATTTAAACGCATAGAATATTAATAATAATAACAACAAAGACAATATTTAAATCAATTCTGACAAGAAACAGACAGGGCAGCATGGTGGCGCCGTGGCACAATCGCCTCACAGCAAGAAGTATGTTGGTTTGAGTCCCGGCTGGATCAGTTGGCATTTCTGTGTGGAGTTTGCATGTTCTTCCCGTGTTGGAGTGGGTTTCCTCCAGGTCCTCCGGTTTTACATGCAGTCCAAACACATTGTCTGTAGTGTGTGATTGTGGATGAGTGTGTATGGATGTTTCCCAGAGATGGGTTGCAGCTGGAAGGGCATCTACATAAAACACTTGCTGGATAAGTGTAGCCCACCCCAGATTAATCAAGGCACTAAGCCAAGAAGAAAATGAATTAATGAATTAAGAAACAGACAGGACACATTATAAAATAGACATCCTCAATTTATTATGCTTTTGCAGAATCCACAAGGACTCCACTTTCTGAAGGGGAAAAAATCTTTAGTTGTCTGCATAGTTAACTTGATAAACAGGGCACAATAAATGTACACACTTTGGATTATATTAATTGCTTGTAGTAAACGTTTGTGTTTGATTTGTTTCATGGTGTCAGGGTCTTTTGTGTTTGGAGAAGGTGAACTATATATTCTGCAGCAGAACTTTGCATTATGGAAAAATAAATATAAGACAAAAGACACAAAACTGTATTAAAAAACTAATAATAATACTCTACAAAATAATCGTTCAAATATGACCTTCAGAAAAAAAAATACAAATGCAAAAAGTTTTTTCATTAAAAAATTAATGAATGACCTAATAATTATAAATATTATATCACTTTAATAACTGCAACTTTAAAAAAATATATACTAAAAATAATACCATTCATTCATTCACCAACTTATTCAGCATATTTTAAGCAGTTGTACTTCCAGCTGCAACCCATCACTGGGAAACATCCATACACACTCATTCTCACACTCATACACCACAGCCAATTTAACCTACCCAAATCACCAGGCCTTTGGACTGTGGGGGAAACCGGAGCACCCGGAGAAAACCCACACCAACACGGGGAGAACATGCAAACTCCACAAAGAAACACCAACTGACTCAGCTGGGGCTCGAACCAGCGACCTTCTTGCTGTGAGGCGATCGTGCTACCCACTACGCCACCATGATAATAATTAACGTTGATAATAATAAATAATATTTTTATATAATTAAATTTAAGAACATCAGCTCAGCTGCATATTTTGATACAGAACTTTGCCTCCTTAAATTCCAAAGATTGAACACTGGAGTAAACTGATGAAAAATATTATTATTTTACAGAAAACACTCCACATTTAAAGATGCACATATATTGCTCTTTTGTCCATTGTATTTTTTCATAATTGTAAGATAAACCCACTAAGCAATTTAAGATTATGTAATGATCCGTTTTGTACATGCTCTTTCTGAAGGTTTGCTTTTATTCCACCACTAGGTGGCAGTAAATCTCATTCATTCATTTTCGTTTCGGCTTAGTCCCTTTATTAATATTGGATTGCTCAATTAGGTTTAAGTCAGGGCTCTGGCTGGGACATTCAAGAACAGTCATGAATAAATGATTTAGCAAATGGCTGCAATATAACGAAGGGTGAAAAATGTAAGGGGGTCTGAATACTTTCTGTACCCACTGTAAATCAGAGTAGTAGATGTGATTACATGCCAAGATTTTCTACATAAGACAATTCTACAAATCAAAAATGATAGATTATGTGATGTCTATGACCTAATTCTGATGGTCGAGAATTATTTTATTTCCTCCCTGACTCATCATCACTCCTTTCTGATTCTTCAATGTTGCAAACCTGTAACCATTGACTTGCATAGTATTGTCTTTTCCTACTATGGAAGTCAATGAATGCAGCTAACTGATTTATATGTATATAGAAGCAACAACAAACTACGAATAGATGACATCACAATGACCGGTACAGGCTATATTTATTATTTCACCTATATACATATATAAGAACACATTGAGCATGAACACCCGTTACACGTTTAAATAGGAACGACGTTTAAATGATAATTTCATGACAAATCACAAGCCGGAGCATTCAAACAAGCAGAAATCAACCGGTCATGCAAGAGACTTGCACAGACACAAAGATAACATCACAAAATATCAAATATATGGATAATCACATCTAAATATAACAGGACAATGTGCAAATACAACTTTCTAGAGATGTAAAGCAACATGGAAATAAAAAATGGCATCTTACAATCAAAACTTTAAAAAAATCAACCCAAAATGTGTGTGTGTGTGTGTGTTTATATCACAACAACTGCATGAACAAGTGCAATTCAGCCACAAAATTGGAGGCAAACATGAGGAAAATTCACATTTTTATATTACAGGAATCTTTAAACACAGCTAACAGACCATAGTCATCATTGATTTCTCACGTTATATCACGAGGAATTATATCACGAGGAGCAGAGGATGATTTATGAATATTCTCTTGTTGTTGTCTGAGAGAAACAGAATTTGATATCCAACAAATTGCAGCCATTTTCATATTTTAGCAAGCTCAGCTATAAAACCGCCATCATGATACCGCACAGTGAAACCTTTAATGAATTTGCCTGGATGATACTTCACCACTACCTCAAAATAAATGATATTTTGCTTAAGTAAAAGGATTTTACTACACTGTAAAAAAAAATCCATAATTTTACGTTTTATTTCCGCCAGCTGAGATGCCAGAAAAAAAAAAAACATAAAAAATGACCGTTAAATCACAGAAATATATAGTAAAAAAACACATTAAATTACAGAAATTTAATCAAATATACATTTCTGGTAAATTTCTATAATTTTACAGTAAATTTCTGTATTTTAATGCCGCTATTTAATTAATTTTTTTTTTACAGTGTAGGGTTGTCATTATACTGGAATTCAGTACCAACCGATACCTATATTTCAGAAGTTTTCATTTCCCGCGAACATTTGGGCTCTGTTGAGAAAATTCTTAAACACTGCTAATTTGCTATTGTGTTCACATGCTCAACAGAAATGACTGTGATTGGCTGGGAAGGTCATCAGTTCACCAAACTCACCGCTGTTTACTGTGTGTAAACACAGATACGGGGACACTGGAGCGTTTCAAAGTCACGTCCATCAGCTGGTCTGTCAATAAGCTGACATACAAGCGATCCACTAATGAATTGTGGTTTTAAAATGTTCCAGTGTCCCTGTATCTGTGATTACACTCAGTAAACAGCGGTGAGTTCAGAGAACTGATGACCTTCACAGCCAATCACAGTCATTATATTATATACAGTATTATATTCCAGTATCGTGACAACACTAGATTTTACTATAATAAAACTGTAAAATGTAAATGGAAGTGTATGCAGAATGATATTGATTAATGCTGAGGATTACACACCTGATTTGTCTGTACTACACTAAAAAAGTGCATCAATGTAGGGAGGATCACTTTTGAGGATAATTAAACTTCTGGGAAAGGTGTAGATTATGAGACGTACAACAGCAGTAACTAGGGACAAGAACAAATGTATAGCAATAAAGTACTGTTATGAGAGTTTGGTAGTGAATAAGCCAGTGGTCTCAAACTCGATTCCTTGATTCACATGCTTCATAGTCTCTAGTAGTGTTGAACACCTTCTAATCAATTACAATTATTTTGGTCACATCATAATTCATCATGACAATGCATTTGGTTGAACGGGTTTAGTATCCACTGGGTTGTTTTTGAGGAATGTTTTCAGACACAACACATCTCACAATCTTAGACTACTATGAAAACCAGACAAATAATAACCAGACAAATACTCTTTGAGTTGAAGTGTGTTGCTGGATTACATGCTTAAGGGTAAGTTTTGGAGATACTGTGCATCTTTTTATTTATTTTTGGAATCCTTCTCTCAACCTCTCTTTCTTTCTGGACAGGTCATTCAATATTCACCAGACTGTTGTCCGTGTCGTCGGCTGGGCTGGATTCAGTGCCCGTTCCCTCAGTTTGGGAAAGATCCTCCAAAAGCTGCTTTCCAGCCTCTCCGGCTCGGGACGCCCAGTGAACAGCGCCCTGTTTCAGTCCGATGGAGCGAAGCAGCTTGGCGTAGTCCACAAACGCGGCTCCGACCAGCTTATGTGGAGACGCTGTGGTCAAGGAAGACTGATATAACAAGGTATGAAATTAAACGGTCACTCACTACAGGGTGTATGCGGGGTCAATTTTAGGCCTTAAAAAGTCTTACATTCACTGAAATATGGTGTTGTAGGTCTTAAATGCTTTCAAGCAGGTCATAATATTCATTTGTCTATGTAAAGCTAACCAGTTAGTACAACAAACAATCCTCTCTATTTATTAAATAACTCATTTATTAACTCTATTTACCAATAAGGTTTATTAAACTTCCTTACATCCTTACAATAACATTTGTTTGAAAGTTCTCCATGTATTTATGCATAAATGTAGACCACCTTAAATCAATTCAGTTCAATTCATGTTTATTTCTCTTGCATTATTTCTCTTATTTAGTCCCAGGAAATTGAAACTGAGTCAGTCCAGTGACTACCTGACAAAAGTCTTGTCG